TATTAAACTAATGAATTGTATTGTGTCATTGTGTATGATATTGAGATGTGATTTTGTGACTGAAGTATTTTCTGCACGTCCACAAAATGACAAAGTCAAGCATAAGTGCTTAAATCGTTTTAAGCATTTGCAACTTTTACACATTTTGTCTGATTAGATTTATGCATTTTTTTATGTGTGATTATTACTCTACAGTAAAAATTACAGTGTATAAGTATCAATAAAAGTTTGGGATTTATTTTTTAAAATATTTATTTGTTTATTACAATAAACTTTAACTAAATATAATAGTAAATGTAGTGAGAGAACTCTCAATGAGATTCAGATGCGTTTTGATCCAAATGTATTATACAGTGTATGGAATTCCGTGTACAATATTTTTGACTAAAAAACACTCAAAGTTTTAAGTTTAATATTAATAGATTGAATAATGAAATAAAACAATTTTTAAATAGTTGTAGCATATACATATAATGCGTGTAATGCAATGTGAATTTATAATAATTAATTAATTGTTAATGTAAAATAAATTGTTAAAAATTTGTTTTGTTTTTAATATGCTTTACTTTCGTAGGATAAGCAGCCCTTTCCGCTTCTTCTATAGTGTCAGGAATTTCCCGGCCTTTGGTTTCGGGTAAGAACTGAACCAAAACAGTGCCCGAAAGCATGAGAACGCCGTACAGTCCCATCACTAATGCCAGACCATTAGTAGCCGCCTATATATACAGTATATATAATTGATGCAAATTATGTTTAATAAATTGAAGATTTCTGGCATTAAATATTACCAAATTTTTCATAAACGGTGCGGTAATGGAACCGATCCTTCCGACCACTGAAGCGGCGCCGAGTCCTCTCTGTCTCAAGACTGTGGGGTAGAGCTCCGGGCCGTGCATTGCCATCACATTCCACGAACTGCTGACTCCGAACTTCCCGATCAAAGCGAACGTCACTTTAATCCAATCCCTTTCGACGGGAATTATTGCGAAACACGAAACACCAGTCAATAACATAAAGAAACCAAAGAGTTTGCAGCGACCGATATATCGGAGCATTAGTGCTGAAAGCAGTTGAGACGGGAGTTCAACGATTCCCGACAACAGAAATGTTATGTAGAAATTGCCCCCAAAGTCAGACATATTGAAACTTAGGCCATAATATAGCAGTGCATTGACAATCCAAGTGTACCACAATATAAACGTTATTTTACGAAGTGCTGGAGTTTTTACCAAATCTAGTATTGTGTGATTTTTTACAGATTTCTCGTGTGATTGCATCTAAAATTATATTTGTTGTTATTTTAGTGGTATTCGTTGTTATAATGTTAAATAACAATTCAACGCTAACCTCTTGTAAATATGCAGACAATTCAGTCAACTGTTGCTTCAGATTTTCGTCGGACTTTCCGTTTATTTTCAGTGCTTTCCTAAGCGTTTGTTCGGCTCTATCGGTCTGTCCATTGGTTATCTGCCAACGCGGGGACTCAAACATAAAGTAATACCAAACCATCATTGATCCCAATCCAAGTAATGACACGAATAATAAGTATCTATAGTCCTGCAGCCATAAGGCCAGTCCCGGTACAGCCGCGTAACCCAATACCCAGCCTATGCCTCCAAGAATTGAAATGTCTGCCCTATATTTAGGTCCACAACACTCTAATACTGATTACAAAATGACATTTTATCAAGAATTATAATTGCAATTAGTCTTTAATTGTTTACATGTCACATATATAGCCAGTCCTCGACCCGAACTGCCCGTTCCCACCAAAAAACGAGAAATTGTGTAAAAATATATATTTGGGGAAAATATTGAGAGAAGAATTCCCAATAATTCTATGATAAATGATATCCAAACAGTAGGTCTTCGGCCGTATTTGTCTGAATAGTGAGCAAATATGAGTCCAGAGACCGCGTATCCCAACATATATGCCGTTTGAGTAAATGATGCGAAGTGTTTCCGATCGCACACCAAATTAAACTAGATTTTTGAAATGAAAAATATATTTTTATTTAATTTTTAAGAGTTAATAACAATAAATGAGATTTACTTCAGTGTTGATAGAGTTTGCAAACTGTGTCCTATCGTATTGCCATTCATTGCAACTCTCAGTACGATTATTAAATTGAAAGCATTTCATGTCATCTGTTTTATTCTTGATAAACAATTACGAGTAAATTGAAATTAATTTTAAAAAATACAAATATCATAACTAACTAATTATAACTACAAACCTGATAATCTGGTGGAACATCACTGCACCAAAAATCATTATCATATGCCATAAAACTATAACCCATGTTATTAACGGCCGCCACTCCCCATAGAATAAAGCAGAAGGTGATTAACTGGAACTGCCATTTACCCCATTCACCCACTATATCGGCGATATGTTTCACGTCGGGCTTTTGCTGTTCGTCCATTATTTTGCTTATGTCCTAACAATCACTTCAATTGCAAAATATATTGCTATTTTGTGACACACATTGGGCTCTTTGTGACATAGTTTGAAACCAATGAATGAAACAGTTTTTTCAAACTAAAAGCAAACAATTCTTGGATTAATCTCTTTCTAATCTCTAACCCATCTATTGACTATCATTTTACTTTTTGTTGTTTATGATATATTAAGAATTTATATACGTTAAAGTGAACATGTTGTCTTTCAAATAAACTAATCAATACGTGTGTTAATTATCAATCAACTAATTTTGACAGCAAACTATTTTTTGTTACCCATTTTAGAAATCACTAAATAAAATGTAAATAAAACATTTAAACATTTGTAAACATCAAAATCAATGTAAAACTGTATTTAGTATAAAGTTAACTTATTTAGAAATTATAATAAAATTTTCATAAATGTAAATAAACTTTTATATTTATTTATAAATCAATGTTTTCAGTAATTGAAAATTTATTAAAATAATAACTATTATAATAATATTGTTTGAGCAGTAAATAAAAAATTAGGCAAAATTGAAAAATTAATGCAATTATTAGTATATTTTCTACAAACGTGGTAAATATTGGATGTGTTTCCAATTCATTCATATCTTCTGACAATTCATTTATATCATTTGATTTCTGAAAACAATTTTAATAATCAGTAAAATTTCTATATAAATATTATTAAATAAAATATCAATGAATAATATTATACTTACATCTGATCTGCACTTTTCTTGAGCCGAATAATCATAATATTTAATGGATGGACACAAACACATGAATGATTGAACACCTGATGGTAGGCATAGATGAGTGCAATTGGCGTTCAAACACCGGTTGAGGGCAATCATCGGTTGTTTGGTTTTGTCTACTATTTTGATGGCATCTATTGATACGTTAGCCTTAAAGACTACAAACCGTTTGGTGCCGTTACTACCCGTCCGATGAGTACGAAGTATAGCATTGTGTCTATCATTAGTCCAATAGATATAATCTGCGAAGAAATCCATTCGATATGAACTCGAGAAGAGATCATATGATTTCGCAATAGTCCTCCGATTTTGGCCAAAATATCCGATCGATGAGAGGGTATATAATTGGGAATCAATCCAATAGATTGTCTTTGAGTTGACATCAAGTGTGAATGCATAGGAATATTTGAGATCGTAATCGACCACAACTTTAACATCAGTTCCCGCTTGTGATGACCGCATTATCTTATCGTTATCTCCACTCTCTTGCCATTGAATCCAAATTATAAGCGATTCCAACGGATCTATGGCTACATTACGGATGACATCAAAACTATTCTCAACGCATACATAGCGTAGAGATGGTCTGTGTATTGAAATTACTTCAATACTGGTGTCGTCCGTCCAATACAAGAGCTCATGGATCCAATCGAAAGCAATTCGCGATAAGAAGTGATACTTTTGTTTGTTTAACACTTTCTGTAGAGTAATGTTGAGTGAATTTGTGTGGTTTGAAGGCAAGGGTGAGACCAGATTTGAGCGCTGATTATTCACAAACAATAGATGACCGCTAATACTGTAGTCAATGCCGTAAACTAGATATGATTTCTTGAATAAAATACTCGTTTCATTCAAAGTAAACGATATTTTTCCAGTCATTTCATTTAATTCGCCAATTCTTATGTCTTTCTTTGCTTCCGAAAATATTATGAATGTTTTTTCACTAATATTTAAACAAAGGCTTAAATTTATAAAATTAAAACAAATAAAATATAATTTGAGAAACATTTCATTAGTGTAATAACTGTAATAACTGTAAGCACTACTTAATACTTATCAGAAATGAATATAAAGTTATTTATAACTGTAATTACAGTACTCTATAAGGATTTATACAATTATTATTAAAGAAATAAAAGCTTAATCTTTAACCAAAAGGATGCATAAGATTAATATCTAAACAAAGGGAAATACAATCAATTGTTGGGGAAATAA